ACCCCCCACGCAACCCCCCCCCCCCCACCACCAAGTCCCATGGGAGGATGCCCCTCAGCCAGAACCCCGCTTCCACGATTGTACAAATGTCATAATCAATATGTTTACTTAGACTGCAGGAGGAATCCGATGAGCTATGAAGCTCTTTTGCACAGATGTCCAGTATGGGGGTCAGCGACTTACAGCGTCAAACGATAGAACAAAAGCCGAGATTTTCAAAGATAATTGTCGTATCGCTATAGCGCGGCGTCATGTATGCCAGCATGAGCTGTCACCGCTTGTCATTAACACTCCTGGCTGTAAATGAACGTTGGTTCGTATCCCTGTCCACAAACGGCCATTGACCAAATGACCGGAAAGCGCCGCCGCATCTCGTCAGACCTCGCAAGCTACGAAGGCGTCGAGCCTGGATAGCGGTGCTCTGTCCGGGATGGACTCCTAGGGGGCTTTCATTTTAAACTGGTCTGTCCGGGTCAGCGACCCCGGCAAACATGTGTATCACCAGGCACAGCACATCTCCCGGGTATACAGTCGACCCTTGTGCACCGCGACTTTCACCCATCGCGGTTTCGATATATAGCGGGGTCGGCGAAGGAAATGAAATGGGAATTTTTTTGGGGAGTTTTGCGAACGCCGCAGACGACACGCGAAGGCCAGCAGACGACACACACAAAGTTTACTAACTCACAAGGGGCCGTCCATAAATGACTCATAAGGGGGTCAGACATTTGTGACGATGTGTGACGAGGGGTGGGGGGGGGGGTTGAGAAATGTGACGTCACATCAAAATGCGCAACTTTAAATAAATACAGACAACACGTTCCACTTAATTAGATAGACTTTTTGATAAATGTTTTCTCCTACAACATCAGAGTGCAGCGCCACATTGAATACGCACTACGAGGATGGGGGGGGGGGTCTGACTGTTTGTGACGCCGCGTGACGAGAGGGGGGGGGTGTCATATTACTGTATAATATTAATGTATGTGATATTTTTTAATACCATAAATATACACATTTCTTGTAAAAAGTTAAGTTTGCGAAAAGAACCGTGGGTTCTACGCGCTGGTTTGGAGGACGCCAAGCGTGCTGACGGCAGCTTGTCACGTGATATCTCGCAGTGATCTTTGTCTCTCGCGTTTCTCGTTTTCTTTTTGTGCCGTTTTAGTGCCCTAAACTGTACTAAAAAAAACATTTTTTCGCGGTTTTTCCAGGGCCTGCGCCCCTAACCCCCGCAATGTGTAAGGGGTCGACTGTCTTTCTCTCACCGTGGCTTGAGGTCACTCGTCACGTGCCATGTCGTCCCCTCCAATCTTACAGCCAACCCAGAAACGCACTTGGTGAGAGGGTAACCTCTGGGTGACCACCATGCGTGTAACAGGTGGTATAGGTTGCGGCGGCTGCTGCTCGGGGCTGTAACTACGATGTGGGCAGCAGTGTAGATCAATCCATTGTTGTACTGTTCTTCCACGCTCCTACATATATGCACTGGGCAATCATCAATTCTCACCGAGCCGCGTGCATGGCGAAGTATGGTCAAAGAACTCGCATTACCAGCGTGACGTGGGGTACACGCTCACAACCTCACCCCAAACTCACCACCCCACACTCACCACCCCACACTCACCACCCCACACTCACCACCCCACACTCACCACCTCACACTCACCACCCCACACCCACCACCCCACACTCACCACCCCATACAAACCTCACCACCCCATACAAACATCACAACCCAACCCAACACTCACCACCCCATACAAACCTCACCACCCCACCCAACACTCACCACCCCACCCCACCCCACACTCACCACCCCATACAAACACACAACCCCACCCAACACTCACCACCCCATACAAACATCACAACCCCACCCAACACTCACCACCCCACCCCACACTCACCACCCCATACAAACCACACAACCCCACCCAACACTCACCACCCCATACAAACATCACAACCCCACCCAACACTCACCACCCCATACAAACATCACAACCCCACCCAACACTCACCACCCCATACAAACATCACAACCCCACCAAACACTCACCACCCCATACAAACCACACAACCCTACCCCACACTCACCACCCCATACAAACATCACCACCCAACACTCACCACCCCATACAAACATCACAACCCCACCAAACACTCACCACCCCATACAAACCTCACCACCCCACACTCACCACCCCACCCTCACCACCTTCCCCCTTCCTCACCACCCCTCTCCTCCCTCACCACCCCACCTCACCCTCTTCACCAGACCCTGACCACCTCACCTCACCCTCCTCACCAGACCCTCACCCTGACCACCCCACCGCCCACACTCCTCACTCGCGAGCGCACAGACGGCCAGACAATGCGCATGCACGGCGACAAATCTTCCACATGGCGGATGGAACTGATCAACAAAAAACGCTTTTGTTGAAGCGCTCCGACATGCGCTGGGATCTCGCTCAGGACGTCAACGTTGATTAATCTCATACTTACTGCTGGCAGCGGCAGGTGAATGGGTTGAGGAATGCCGGCCCGAGTGAAAGAGAGAGCGAAAAAGGATGATGTGTGATAGTATGTGCGAGTGTGTGTGTGAGAGAGTGTGTGTGAGAGTGTGTGTGTGTGAGAGTGTGTGTAAGTGTGTGTGTGTGAGAGAGTGTGTGTGTGTGTGTGTGTGAGAGAGAGTGTGTGTGTGTGTGTGAGAGAGTGTGTAAGAGAGTGTGTGAGAGTGTGTGTGAGAGAGTGTGTGTGAGAGAGTGTGTGTGTGAGTGTGTGAGTGTGTGTGTGTGAGAGTGTGTGTGTGTGAGTGTGTGTGTGTGAGAGTGTGTGTGTGTGTGTGTGAGAGTGTGTGTGAGAGAGTGTGTGTGAGAGTGTGTGTGTGAGAGTGTGTGTGTGTAGGGAATTCCAACAAGACCTACATCTCTGCTTTATTGACCTGGTCAAGGCCTATGATACCATCAGTAGGCCTGGGCTCTGGGTTGTTCTTCGTGCTTTTGGAGTACCTGACCCTCTGCTCACGATCATTAAGGACCTTCATGATGGTGAGCGGGCCCGGGTAAAACTACGTGGCCGAGAGTCAGAGCCATTCCCTGTTAACCTTGGGGTGCGACAGGGATGTCCTCTGGCTCCCACATTATTTAACATCTATTTTGACCACGTAGTTCGTGAAGCCTTCAATAGCTGTACCGGGGGAATCTCCATATGGTACAGATATAATGGGAGCCTGATCGACGCCCGGGTGCGGTCTAGGGATGGCTCCCTATTGCTCAACCACGTTATGTATGCTGATGATTTGGTAATAGCTGCTCATTCAGAGGAGGAGTTGGAGACGCTGCTGCTGAGA